CCAAGGTGTACTTATTGGTTTCCTTTAAGTTCTGTAGGCTTCCCTGTGTTTCTCAGTACTCCTTTAACTCATTGATCTTATGTTATGCACAGTGACTGACAGATCAGGCATTCTTCCTAACAGGTTCCTATGAACCATGGCCATGTTACAAGCAGCTTTGTATTGTAACTGAAAGCACTGCTGGTGCGACATGAATATTAAATAGTAGCAGTTATAAGGAATATTCTTAGAGACTATATTGGTAATACATAAGAAACAATTTAAGAAGCATCTAAAATCTTAATATTATGAACACTGTATATGTAGATTACATGTATAACACGTCAAAGACTTAAAATATCATTTTAGTGTCACTAAGAATTTGTTTTAGGTTACTGTCTTGCTGTATGTATTTTCTAGATGACCAGTTTTCATCAGTTGCTTTCCATGGAATTCAGCCTCAAATGATGGGGTTAGCTGCACAGCCACGACACGTTTCTTTTCATATGCTTCTACTCCTGGAGCATGTTCCCAGTGGACATGTTAGAATGGGTGATGCAATCACTTGGAAAGAGCTGAAGATCAAAACAGATCCTAAACTTGACATGGTAAGAGAATGAATTCCCCACAACAGAAATGGTGTTCGATTATCTGTGAATAACCAGCTATGTAGTGAGATTATGGCTTACTGTTTCCTCAACGGACTGAGCTAGAGAGTAATGAATCATGATCCTGACATATAGCCTGAATATTACATCAAAATGGTCTTGTGAATCAGTAATTCTTGCATAGTAGCAGACAAATGGTTTATCAAATGGTGTGCAGCTATGTTTGGAGGCACATACTCACTTGTCAACTCACATGATATTCTGAGCTATGCTTCCTCCAATATTTTCTAAATTGGCCATGGATGTTTCATTGATGAGGAGGAAGGTAAATGATGCACAAATTGCAGGCATGGGAACTTTGGCTTGAATATACTGGAATGCATGACATTTTATTATTCTAGTCTATTCTCTTGTATGAAGTGCATATAGCTTGATAATTGTTCATACAAAACAAGAATTGCTTAATAAGAAATTTGGCCACTCTTTTCCCCCCCTAAAGTCACACATACTGGATGACAGGCAGTAAACCCAGTTTCGCCTGACAGAGTTTGTGCAAATGAAGCTTTTTGGATTTGTCTGAGGAGATTGTTTAAGTTTTTAGAGAGTATTGGTTGGTACTATCTACCTCTGAACTGTAAAGGAAACTCTATACTTTTCAATGGAGAGAAACAAATATTAGTCCCACACCACAGAAAGACAAGGGAGTAGTAATTGATCATTTTTTTTTTCACATCCTAACAAAAATTTTATTAGAATCAATAAAATCTTCTATATAAAATGCACACTCACAAACTTTATTTTATTAATAGCCTGCTTAGCAACTTATCCACTATTTCTTCACAGGCAAAAAAGATTTTAAAAAATGAAGAACGTGAAACAGTTTTATATTTAAAGATAAAAGTAATATTGTCAAAAAAAAACGTTTAGTACAGCCATATGCTTCTTTCCATCTGAGCTGGGAAAAGATGCTATGTTGGGAGGAAGAAATGAAGGCATCATCTTTGAATCTATTTTTATGAAATATTTAATGCATAACACAAAACAGATATGGCAAACATACTAATGAACCAGTTCCCATCCGCTTTATTTCTGGATAAACTCAAGATTATGAGCTTCTACAATATTTATATCTAAACATGAACTGATGGAGTTAATTGAAGCACCTTTGCACTGAAAAACCAGTGCCTGATGTCTGAAAGACATTCTGACTTGCATGCTGTGCTGAAATCAAGAGGTTTTCCAGCCTAGCTTGCATAGCAGATTATTGCAATGGACTCCAGGATCTACTATAAAGAATGTCCAGAAGCTTCAGTTGGTACAAAATGTAGTAGCCAGGCTGCTAAAAGGGGCATGGTAACAGGACCCTTAGACACATGTCCTGAAAGATTGGCTCCAGTTGGCAACTGCTTTCCAGGCTCTATTCAACAGAGTCTATTGCAAGTGCTTTAAAGCCCTTAATAGCTTAGGACTGGCTTCCTGAAGGACCACCTGTTTTACTAAAATGTGGTTTCTGTGTACCATCCTCAAGAGATGTCCAACTTAAGGTGATCCTATAAATGAAAGCTTTCCAGAATGTCCATCCCATGACAGCCCTGCTCAGCTCTTATGCATTTAAGGCTGTGCCTTCCTTTACAGAGTCAATCCATCTCTCATTTTCTTCTTTTTCTGCTTTCAACTTTCCCTAGCATGATTGTCTTCTCCAAGGAGATTGCTCCAGGGAGTTTTGCCTTCTCATGATGTGCCCAAAGTATGACAGCCTCTGCATAGGCCATGCAAGATTAAAGACAGCCCATCCTTAATAGTCAGCCTCACTCATCCCAAAATAACCACTGACATGAAGAAATGTCTTCTGTGATCCAGGATATGTTTTATTTGCTTTTAGCTAAGTTTACCTTCATATTTTATTTATACCTCTTTACTGTGTGAATTATAGATTGAAGCAAGTTAATGGATAGATACTCATGATAAGGAATTATGTATATAAGTCCTGAATCTTTCATAATGCTGCCCCACATGTCTTTAAGTCTGTTTGTGTGGATCTGCCTTCTCTTCCTCCTGTCTGGGCATGCAAAATATAATCTGAAAGCTGAGAGAGTAGTAACAGACTGTGGAGTCCCCCACTGCTCCTTCTTTTTCCATTTTTCCAAGTGCCCATACCTAACACTATATCATAAAAACAATTAAAGACTATTTAAAATCAGAATATAAAGTCTGTTCAAAACCACAAGCACCAAATTTAAATAGTGGATAATCCATAAGCAACAACCTCAACTTAACAAAATGCATCTATGTATTCTCCTCTCATGCCCTACCTTCAGCACTTGCCTTATGGTTTCCTTAAACCAGCATTTCCTTTTGAACCAGGAAAATTTGATTTAATCTTGACTAACTTACCAGAGCATGAGACCAGGATGATATGACCTCTTATTTACCTCCCGCCCTTACTGGCAGTACCTTCCTGGACTCCTCTCTGGGTGAACAGTAAAGGGCGCAGATGAAACAGGCAGAGAACTGATAGCAACAGGATAATCAAGCCACAATTTTCACTGGAAACATGCATGACAAAACAGGAGCTGCCACACTCTGGACACATCATGAGGTGGCAAGATGCACTGGAAAAGAAAAGCATGCTATAGAAAGTCAAGGCAGAAGAATAGGAAAACCAGCCAGGAGATTGATTGATTCTATAAAGGAAGCCATGGCCTTGTGTTTACACAACAGTACAGGGCTGTCAAGGACATTTTCAAGGGCACGCATTCATAGTCACCACCAGCAACATCTTGATGGCACACAGCAGTAACAATTATTTATTAGAATGAGATTCTTATGCTGAAACTGCCTGTATGCTTTGAAAGTCTGGCAAAACAGGCTAGTTTTTTACTCAGTTAAGATCAATCAAGCTTTTCTAGGATGGACATACAAAGTTAATATGCTACAGCAAATGAGGAACAACCGGGGGCTTTATAGTACCAACTTTCCTATGCTGCACTTTGTAGAATTTATGACACAAAAACCCCCTTATGACTCCATTCAGAAGAGATGCTGATGATATATTTTAGATATTAAATATGCTACAATTTTGATTGTGGACTACATAGAGTGATTTACAACAGTTGTCTAATTCATCCTCACTTCATTATCAATTCACCAGTCTCTGGACATGCAGATAGAAGAAGCCAAGTATTTCTTACATTCTGAACATTGCTAGAATATTAGTACTGAGGAAAATGGTTTGTTCCTAGTGGTATTTCCCACTGAAGCTCTGTGCAAACATGAGCTTCCCAAATACCCTATCTCTTTATTCCAGCCTCAGTTCTGAATCTTTATAATGGGAGCACTAAAGTGCAATCTTATGCATACCTACTCAGAAATACGTCCCATTTAGTTCAGTGCAATTAACTTTGAGGAATGTGTGTACAGGGTTGCAGACCTAGGGTGCAAGCCTATGCAGATTCAGGCAGAAAAAAGCCATACAACTCCCAGTATCACTGGAATATGATGGGAGTTTTAGGGCTTTTTCCTGTCTAAACAGCCATAGGATTTCACCTTTAATGACTTTAACTTAAGAAATTTTTGTGCTGAGGATGAACTGTATAACTGTTGCAAATCGTTTTGTATGCTTCAAGGTGCCATAGGAAGTAATGAAAGGTTATAGTACCTACAATTTTCCAACCTTTTCCCCAGCAAGAAAGTTATTGTGCCTTCTGCAATTTAATGGAACCCAGGAATTCAGTGGATGAATGAACTATTTGAGAGAACTTGTAAGGAAAACCAGTTGTATTTGAACCTGCGAATCAGTCTTTAACAGGACCATTCTATGTATGTTTGCACAGGAGTAAGTCCTACAACTTCCATTGTACCCCAGCCATGTGGGAGTTGCAGGACTTTCTAAGCATGTGTAAGATTGCACTGAACTAAAAGAGGGACATTTCTGAGTAGTCATGCACATGATTGCCCACAGTAGGCTGGGGGAATTGTGGGAGCTGTATGGCTTTCTAACGTCTTAACAATACACAGGAGCGCGACCTAAAAGCACAAAAGCCTGTATGGTGCAACAAATCATTTCTCAAACCCCACAGTGAGTATGCGCTTTGTTAGATAATACGCAGGTGCATGAACTCTCACCCTCGGTTACCAGAGAAGACGAGACTATCCGGAACTCTGCACATGTTCAATATGCATTCACGAACGAGAGGAAGAAAAATGGTAGTGCCGTTCACAGCCGACCAAGAAGCACAAGACGGGATCGCTCACGCACACAAACGCGGCTTCTCGCGTCTTGCGGGAGGCCGCAACGCGCTCTCGGGCCGCTAGAAGTCGCTGCGGGGCGGCGGCCGTAGAACAGCGCTGCGGCTGCTTCGGAAACCGGTCCCGAGCCTCTTCAAAGTGCCGCCTCCTTCGCCTCCCGCCCTTGCCGGCGGCGCCTTCCCAGACTCCTCTCCGGGTAAACAACGATGGCCGCAGATGAAGGAGGCGGAGAACAGGATAACAACATGGGGAACCACTTGCAGCTCATTCCCGGTAATGGCGGCTCCCTCAGGGCGCCTCAGGCAGGGCGGCCAGGCGAGCGTCCCTGCGGCGCAGCGGCGGGGGCAGACGGCGAAGGGAGGGCGAGGCAGAGTGACAGGGCTCGTCGGGGGCGCAGAAGCAGGAGGTCGCCTCATGCGGGTCTCTGACCGGGCACGCCTAATCCGGCAGAGGAAGGGAAACGGGGCGCCTGTGATTCCAGGAAAAGCAGGGGAGAGAAGAAGGGACGAGGAACCTGGAGAGAAGCCGCTGGGCGAGAGGGCCTGAGGCGCTGGAGGGAATGGGGTGGAAGCGGGAGAGGAGGACAGGGACCAGTGAAAAGGGGTGGCCGAGAGGTGGGACGCGTGTGCGTGGGCGCCGCGGACCCGAAGGGCCGAGGGCGCGTCTGAAAGGGCAGCTGTCGCTTGCGCAGGAAAGGGGCTGAAAGAGAAACTGAGAGGTGCGCTCCCGCTCTGGCAAAGGCGAGGGGCAAGGAGCAGGTGGGTCGGGGAGAGAAAAGGTGCGTGGCACCCTGCAATCAGTCAGTCCTCTAGGGAAGAGGGAGGGTTGAAGCATGGAGAAGATGAAACACTGGAGCACTGGGGGTGCGGGGACGAGTGGGATTTGTGGCGCTGGGGTGTGCCTGCAGCCTGGCAGCTTTTGTGACTGGAGAAGGACTGATGCGTTCAGACGCAAGAAAGGCAGAGGTGATACTAGGACACAAGAAATCGGCTTCTTAAAAAGAACAACAGATCTTGTCCCTTTCCAAATAAAAATAACACTAGTAGCAGGTAGAAAATCAAATGAGGGTGCAATGTTATGCATTTCTTGGCAGGAAAAAATCCTACAATCCCAGCATTCCCTAGCAGCCATGGGATTTATAGGACTTCTGCCTAAATATGTGTCGGACTGCACTCTAGGTGTTAGTTCATCCTTGAAAGTAGATGCAGTGATGTACCTCTCCTTAGCTTTTCCAGTTTCATTTCTGTAGTGCTGTTAAAAGCATAGTTGACCTGCCAGGAAACCAAACTCCTTAGTTTCATGGGGATACTGTCTGCAGTTCCCTGTGAAATGGGGTGGCAAATCAGTAGAAATAAAAGAGTAACTGCAAGGCAGAGGGACTAGTACCTGGAGTATTGAAAGGGAGGAGCAGGGGCTTGGGGGTAAGCAGCATTCCAGTTATAGAGCTTGGAGGTAACAGCAGAACAGAGGGCTAAAGTTCTAATAAAGTAGGAAAGTTTTTATGTTATTTAATAAGAATTGTATTGGGGATTGAGCTAATAGGATCAAAGGGAAATGTGTTATTTTAGGAGTAAGAATTCAAGTGCTGAAGTCAGGGACAAAGGAATGGGATGTATGAGATCTGGAAACCGAAGGAGAAATGTATATTAACTGAGGACAGAAAGAGAATAAGGGGGCATATTACTGGAGACAAGGACAGGTTGTCAGACATGCCTTGGGTAAAAAAGTGAGGTCTGAAGAATAGGCCATTAGCTGACAAGAAACAAACAAGGAAAAAGGCTATGGAGACTTGTAAAATAGAGCTTGTTTTCAGGATCAGGCCAAAGGCATTTTCAGACCTCCTGCAGATTATGAACAGTCAAATACCTCTTGTGAGTAGGCCTGACACATGGAACATTAAAGTTAGAAAGCAAGATGGCTGGAACATGGTGGGGAGAGCACTGTGGGAAGAGAACTAAGATTTGCATTAGATAAGCATCCTGTTTTATAAAGCCAGTCATACATTTTCTGAAGTCCACAAGTAGGTTGTGAAATAACCTTTCTCGGATGCTGTTTCTTCCCCACCAGTTGGTATTTAGAAATATACTGCATCTGAGCATGGATTAGCCCCTTAGATTATACCAAATTTGTAAATAAGTCCCACAAAAAACAGTTGTAACCCATTTTTCCACACTAACTTGGCAGGGGGGCAGGAACCACCTTTAGTAACCACAGGCTACTTGCTTAACAGAGTAATTGCCTTCTGCCAGGTGACTGAGTTCCTAGTTGACCACTTCCTCTGTTGCCTGCAGTAGGCATGTCATGAGCCGGGCGTTAGGCTAGAGCCGGGGGTTAGACTAGATGACCTGGGAGGACCCTTCTGTTTCGCTCTGTTTCTATGTTTCTGTAATTTGAATAAGAATAGCAAAATGTTTTGAAATTAAGAAACAAAAAGAGGGATCATTCAGAATCTGAGTAGCATGTACATGCTTCTGGATATCTTTCTGAATATCTGCTATTGTGTAGCTACCTCCCTGCTTCAGCACATTTTTTTTCCCAGTGAACTTTCTACAGAACCCCAAGCTATATTTTATGCTATCATAACAGAAAATACACAGTATTCACTACATTATCTTGTGGTAGAAATGTATATAAATTAATGTGTTGCATGAAAAAGTACTGAATCTAGTGCCAATAATTTTCATTAGTTATGCTGGAATGAAATTTTCTTTTGACTATTTTTCTTCTGCATTTTAGAAATCTTTATCACAGCTTTCCCCAGACCAGGGCTATCCATATTTGTTAAACTGTAATTGCCCATAATTCCCCACCAGCATGACCACTAGCTAGACATTCTGGTGGTCTGGGGATTACAACAATCAGATTACAACAGACATAGTTGGAGGATACCAGGTTGAAGAAGGCTGCTGAATCATGTCCCTTAGCTATATAAGTGTAGCATCTTAAATGCCTTCTAAATGAAAACATTTTAAATGTACAGTCCTATCACCTTTACATGCATCCTATGCCAAGAAAGAGCTGCGTCAGTGCTGAGTCGCACTGTCTCACCCCATGCTGACTATTTTACCTAGATGACCATTTTCAGCCACCTAAATAAAGCACTGGGGAAGGGAAGGAAGGAAGTTAGAATGGTGATAAGTTCACAAACCCTCCCTTCTATACCTCTTGACATGCCCCTTTTTCCTTCCCTGAGGCCTATTTACAGCCTTAGGGGAGAGGGCTTTTCCTATGGAGTCCCAGTTCCAGGGTCACTAAATAATCTCATGGCCTCCCAGATGATGTTGAAAGGCTATAAAATTATACCGCAAATACTTTTGGCTTTCAGTATAGAGAAGGTTAATTTTTTGTTTACTGTATTTGGCATTCTTCCATCTTTCAGAAAAGATAGTAAACTGTATATATAGTCAAAAGGTTGCCTCACTGTAGAGGCTTATAAAACAGAACAAGGATCTTATCTGCAGATTATCTTATCTTCAATCACAGTTTGGGCAATCATTCTAGGCTTCATGGTTTATGCAGGCAAGCATGAGTACAGAGGACAAATCCTCCTTCCTTGCTTGTCCTGCCATTGTGCACTGGCTTGTAGTAATCCAGAGTTCCCCATTAACATCCAAAAAACTGGTTTAATGCTTGTTAATGAACCTAGGATCATGTCACACTTTATGAAGCTTGAAATGATCATTTGAATCTTCTCTTATAAAGTTCTTCTAATTGATTTACCAGCATGACACTAAGATCATTACTAAGCACAAGTTCAAACTTCATTCCTTGTACATGTTAGTTGTGGGGAATGTTTGCCCCCCCTCCCCAGATGTTGATTGACTACAACTCTTACCAACTCTAGCAAGCATAGGAGATAGTGCAAGGCATTCAGAATGGCAATGATACATAGCAAAAGTGTTGTAAGGTGCCTTGCTAAAGTGTCCCACATACTACCAAAGAAGTATACTAGTAAAAGCACCATCCCCATGAGCAAACATATGTGATGGTCAGGGTTGCTAAGAAACAAGTCACATTTTATCAGCATTTTGAGTTACTTATTATATTTATGTATATTTCCCTCCCTGGACTTCAAAGAGGCATGCATAAGATTCCTAGGTAGCACTGATCAGGCCTAGCTTTTGCATAATTGCTGCATAATATTCCTGCCCTTAGTTGGTTAGTCAAAACACTGTTAGAGTGCTCCCCCTGAATCACCACCTCACAACAGATGGATGTTAGGACTTCATCATTTGATAGTTCACTGGTAGATTTGCCATTCCTATGGTTATGTTTCTATTTATTTTATAGAATAAATTCTCTATCCTGTAGATTTAAAATAGAAATAATACTAGTAATTGACAAGACCATTAAGATAATTGAGAATATTTGAGTAACAAAATTTGTGGATATGCTTTATGGCTCAGAAATCACAAAAGGTTAGCAGAATGGCCTATCTGATGGGAGAAATAAGACCTTAGGAATTGGAAATCAGTAAAACAAAACCCTTTTATTACAAGAAGTTTGATATGCTACTATTGCTAACTTAACATACTTTAATAATTTAGGAAGCACCTAACATTTCTAATTATTATTATTGCATTGCATTTATATTCCACCTTTTATCCTCTTGTGAAGAACCCAATCTTATTACTTATTTTATTAATTAAACTTAAATTGTTCTCCATCACTTCATTTTATCTTCACATCAGCCCTGTGTGGGAAGTTATATTGAGAGTCTGTGACTGGCCCAAAGTCATCCTGTGAGCTTCATGGCTGAGTGGCAACTATGATCTCTTGGGTCCCCAATCCAGCACTAACTACCATAGTGGTTTTCTGTAGTTGCTCTACAGATATTAAAAAGCAAGGGCTTGGGATTGGATCCAGATGTACTCATATTGGGAGTAGATCCACTGACATTGGGTAATTGGTTGTAAGTAACTTAAACCCCATTTATTTCAGTGGGTAAGTTGACTGAACTGGAGCTAACCCTAAGATATGATAACAAAAGAAATGAGGAGAAAGGAGAGGAATCATGGTTAGTGTGTTGGACTGAGAAGACCAAAGTTGGAATTCCCATGAAGCTCACTGAGAGACCTTAGCTCATTTATTCCTGTAACCTAATCTAGGTCACATGGTTGTGAAGGAAAAAGTGGGTGGGGAGTCATTTATACTATCTCCTGTAGTGATGGTGGTTAACAATTAAAAACAAGAAAGTTCCAGTACCATTTCTTGAAGTTATATAACTGGAATGGCTGCTGTGGAAATTGTTCTAGAGAAAATAAGGTCTCATA